CAAGAAGCAATCATTTGGGCCTGCTTCGGTAAGTTTGCATTTTTCGTTTGGACTTTAATTATATGCTCATGTGTCCACAGCTGACTGCCGGCAGTCGTCCGGAGGTTACGGTGAGTCGTTAGGACATGTCCGGACCTCCCATGTATAATTCCCACTCATTCCCATTACATTAGAAATCTCCCATCAGTCGTCCGGAGGCTCGGGTAAGTCCTAGAAGTTTTCCAGAAACTCATGTGTATTAACAATCTGTCAGGCAACCTCCGGCAGGCGTCCGGAAGTTGAGGAGGAGTCCAATGATACTTCCAGTGCTTCGGATGGTGACCCGCCGGCCACTACCACATTTGATATCACCATTCCCGGCCCAGTGAGTACTCAAATATATTCCCTCTAGTCCATCTACTAACGGATACTACAGAACAACCCCTGCCATTATTGTGTCAAGGAAAATTGGCCCTGTGCGACTCGATTGGACAAGAGGTCCAGCCTCCCCTGCTTGTCTTGCATCCGCTGCTCCACCAAGAAGATCAAATGCAACCCTGCATCTCTGGGATCCCCGCCCAAACGGACCCGAGGGAAGTCTACCACCGGCCGGACGCGTTCCAAGACACCTGCCCCTGCTCCATCCAATGCTCCATCTCCCTCCCGGTCAAGGGCCCGAACTCGTAGTCAATCTCGTGGCCCTTCCCGAACTCCGGCCATCCCTGCTGCAACCACACCCCAGGTGCAGTCACGTGGTCGCAGCAAGACCATCACTACCAAGAAGACACCTGCACCTGCACCTGCACCTGCACCTGTTCCTGCACCTGTCCCTGCACCTGTCCCTGCACCTGCGCCAGCTGGTAAGTCACCCATACTTTTGATGACCGGCTGACCTAATTTTTTACTTAGCAGTCAGGTCTTCCAGCGTCGCAGTGCCTCGTGCAGCACTCGATGTTCCCATGCCGGATCTCCATTCCATGGCAATCGCGATTCGGGATGGTGCAGCTCGCATCGCTATTCTTGAGGCTCGGGTGCAGGAGCAGGACGCTAAGATTGATACCCTGCAACGCCTCCATGAGAGCCTCCGGCGCACAGTGGTCGACCGGCACCCTTCATTTTCACTTCCGGACACACCGGCCGATGGAATAATGTTGCTTGGTCAAGGAGGTCCCCCCCCGTCCATGTCACCCCTCCCCTCCGCACTTTCCAACCTCATTGATTTGGACTTTTCAGTCATGCAACCTACACCCTTGACGCCTGAGCATGAATCTGCTGTGGTAGGTCCCATGGTTGAGCCCACCCAAGTTCAGCCTGAGGGTCCACAATCCTCCGGCGAAATTGATCTCCCTGATGAACCAGGCAACCTCCTGCCAGAATCCCCCGGCGATATTGTGGTCCCTAATGAACCAGGTAACCTCCTGCCAGAATATGATTCTTCTGATGAGGAGATGGATGTTGAGGGAAAGGTTGATCTTCCTGGTGAGGAGGTTGACATGGCTACATAATTGCTCAGTGATAGATGTACATAAATGTTTTTCCATGCATGTTACCTATGCCACAATTGAATCATTCAATGATCACTCCCGATATCCAGAACTCGAAACTGCAGATTGAGGTAGATATCACCCAAAACCCGAACACCCGAATGTCAAATTATTAGTGCCGAACCCCGAGTCCCGGGTGCCGGGTACCGAGTCCCGACACCCGGAACTCAGGATTTGACATTTTAGACGAACGACATCTTCCAGACATGTTTAAATCAACCTATGTATATCTGTAAACATTTTACTAACCCCCAAACCCCAAACCGAGATGTACCAACCCCCGAACCCCGAAACCCGAGAGTGCCGGGTCTCGGGTCTCGGGTGTCCGGAACTCGGAACTTGGGAGAATTTGGGGAGATCAATACAATTTAATTTACAATCGAGTTGATTGACAACACATTGACTTACCCATGTTTTGCAATATATTTTTGTTTAGACATACCGAGTTCCGAGTTCCGGACACCGGAGACCCGAGACCCGAGACTGCCGGGTCTCGGGTGTCCGGAACTCGGAACTTGGGAGAATTTGGGGAGATCAATACAATTTGATTCACAATCAAGTTGATTGACAACACATTGAATTAACTATGTTTGCAATATATTTTTGTTTAGACATACCGAGTTCCGAGTTCCGGACACCCGAGACCGAGCCGGTCTCGGGTCTCGGGTGTCCGGAACTCGGAACTCGGTATGTCTAAACAAAAATATATTGCAAACATAGTTAATTCAATGTGTTGTCAATCAACTTGATTGTGAATCAAATTGTATTGATCTCCCCAAATTCTCCCAAGTTCCGAGTTCCGGACACCCGAGACCCGGCAGTCTCGGGTCTCGGGTCTCCGGTGTCCGGAACTCGGAACTCGGTATGTCTAAACAAAAATATATTGCAAAACATGGGTAAGTCAATGTGTTGTCAATCAACTCGATTGTAAATTAAATTGTATTGATCTCCCCAAATTCTCCCAAGTTCCGAGTTCCGGACACCCGAGACCCGAGACCCGGCACTCTCGGGTTTCGGGGTTCGGGGGTTGGTACATCTCGGTTTGGGGTTTGGCACTGAAAATTTGACATATATATTTTTGTGAGTGTTGTGCTTCTGGTGTCCATGCTTAGAAATAGGATTTGTTGCACACCAGGGTTCAGGTGTGGGGTTTTTCCACTTCAGTCCTGGATTATTGGTCAATGCCACACATGATAGATTCATGTTTTTGTGCTTAGGGGTTTAGATTTGGTGGTTGATGGTAGGTATATGCACTGATAGTGTACATGTATCCTATGTGTTTGATTCGCTGGTGGCTACATCAGCTGTATGTCTTGATGGAACATATCTAGGCTCACCCATATATGTAATACACCCCCGTCGGCCCGCCCGTCTATGTATTATCCCCCACGTCGGCCGACCCGTCTATGTGATACATCCTATGTTGGCCCACCCGTCTATATAATACATCCTACATCGGCCCACCCGTCTATATAATTATACCCCACCTCGGCCCACCTGTCTATGTAATAAATATTTTATAGCACCCTCGGCCCACCGGTCTATTTGATATCTCTTTCGTCGGCCCACCCGTATATGTAATACATTCCACGTCGGCCCACCTGTATATGTAATACACCCTACGTCAGCCCACCCGTCTATGTAATATTCCCCTACCTCGGCCCACCCATATATGTAATACACCCACGTCGGCCCGCCCGTCTATATAACAATATTTGCCTTACATCTCTCTTCAGCCCAGCTGTCTATAATATCCTACTCTACATATTACCCAGATGGGCCCACCCATCTCCATGAATGATCATATTCCCCCGGCCCATCCGTCAACATTAAGGATATATATATCATTGGCATACATGGGCCCACCCGTCTCCATCGGAAATAATATGAGTCCCGGCCCATCCGTCATCATCGAGAATATACACAACATGGGCCCATGATCAGCTGGCCCGTCTCATACGGGATATTATGGAGGTCGGGTGGCCCGTATAATACGGAATTTGTCACTGAAGGGGCTCACTAACCATGACCTACCAGTGAGAATAGACGCATACTACCGGCTATCGTCTTTAGCCACCTTCCAGTACCGTCGTCGAGGTATCAACTACATTCCTGTGGTGCAATAATTTTATTGATAAATCAGCAGGAGAACATGAAAAACCATGCTCTATTCAATTTGAGTGGACATACCAGGAACAGACGGAATTGTTCAAAAAGCTTGAGTCGTCCATTGGTGATGGAATTACAGCGAAAGAGTTCCAGGTTTTATTTAGACGCTGCAAGCTTTGCTCGCGAGTAGGAGCGAGGTCGATTATGAAGTACCATATCCAGACCTGTTCAAGAGGGGTCCAAAAGCAACGACCTAGGAATAATCCGCCATTGCTGAAGCTACGTCTGTGATAGGCTGTCGTACTAGAGTCTTACTGATCCTTATCGATCAAACTTTACACTTACGTAATGGTGCAAATTTGCGCTCCCAACATCAACCCCACTCGCATCAATACTATGAGAATGTGCTTAATGAATACGTCGACACAAGACCAATGGAAAACTTCAAGTTGGTGAGGGTGTTTAGTAACTGGTAAGGTGAACCGAGCACGCTTACTTACATAATTCTAAGGCTGATCATCACATTGAGTTCGGGTGTCCGGGCCATATGTATCAACTTCTTGTCCTTTATCACCAGTCTCCACGCCGATGTGACAGTCCCCAACGACAGTCAAATGTTATATCAACGATGTGGATATGAAACCTAGGTCCGTATTGGATTTGTCGTGTCCATCATCATGACATTGTTGGGAAAGTGACTCAAAGATTGGACTGCAGTGAGATAATCTGGGTGTACGCTAAGCACTGTTGACTTTTGAGAAGTTTGAAGTTGCCAGCATCTGACCAGTATAATATTCTTTTTCAGGTAAACGAACATGGCTCTCATCCCGCCACCATCGCCTGGCTGCCTGCCACCGCACCCTATGCAAAGATTTTTGTAAAATGTAACGGCATGCCGAGCTCATCACCACGTATGCCCTCTTTACATCTGAATTTTCTATGCGGAAGTCTAACCTCACTGCCCGGCCAGGGCAGTACCCAGATACAGATTGACGTCTAAGAGTCTCACACAGGCGCATTCATAGTGGAAGGTTTGTTTCATCTCGAGTCTCTAGCTATCTCAGTGCTCATGACTCTCCTAAAAGTTGATCCATCACTAGCACTGATGGCCAGCCAGAATTCGAATTGTTTGATAGCCAGTAACATTGATTTGATGGCCAGCTGTCATACCATTCAATCGCCGCCCAAATCAGATTCCGATTCAAAATATTGGTTAACAAACGAGCTCCATGATAGCATGCGTCGTGCGTGTACATATTTCCTTACCACAACAGTCATGATACCAGCTCCATCCTATCTTCCACCATTCAACTCCTCAGCCATTCGTAATGGCATGTGCGAGCTTTCGGACATATTGGCAGGTCCCAAATGGCTGGATTTCTACATCAGACTCATACCAACGAAGACGGCAAGTCTACAATTTCTAAAGTATCAGTTCACCTAAATGTTTCTACGTAGCTTCGGACTGAATTGTATATTCTGTACTTCTTGCTCAAAGGCCGAGTCTATCACGGCGATATCTGGCAGATAATCGGAGGGCGTATATTGGAAGCACAGACAGAAGAATCGTTGCGAACAGTTAAGGATAACAAAGGGTGTGTAACCGTAGAGCGAGCTTTCATGGAACAGAAGAGGGATCGATGTCAGCTGGAGATGTCTTTGTGCAGCCAGGCTATCGATCACGTACAGCAACGATGGATAATGCATGAGATTCTCCCAACTACGCAAACCAATGGTCTGACACCTCACTACTTAGCAATGCGTGCTATTACAACTCGCTCACTCGTACATAACAACAGCCCTGGCTTAACAACCTCAATATGTATCGCTGAACCTACTGTAGCCCATTCAGTATCTACAGAGGCCTGTTCAACATCCATAGGAGCCTATTCGGCAGCTGTACAACACAAGTGCGAAACTTGGTTAAGAGAGCAAGACCCCGACTTCACGCCAGTTAGACAACTTTTTTCGGACAAATATGGCTACTCAAATTGTATCACACATATAGAGCAACGAATGCCAGTCATCGTGCACGTCAGTACTGTCAATTTTTCTACTTGGCTAGTCTGACATTATCACTGAAGTCCATCGACTCCTCGTTCCACCTGTCGAGCACATGGGTCCCACCTGGCGTTCAAGAGGCCTTTGATAAGGCATGCCATTTGGAACTTCGCTCTCAGACAGGACTCGTGGCAACCTACCTTGATATGGAAGGTTACCATTCTCATCAGCGCAACCCCGAGTTAGAGTTATATCACTTGCATGTGAAGATGTGTCGTGCCAAAGCTGAGGTAGAAGTTTATGAACTGGCAATTGGAAATGCGCCTGCATCTGACTACTCTGACAGCGACGGTGGGCACGAATTACTTACGTCCTCTTCAAAATGCTGATACAATTGCAGCTTCGTCATCACTTGGCAGCCGCCCTTAGAGGAGACGAGGCGCCTGGCTACGCGTGGTTGAATTCGCATCAGTCGTTTTCACATGGACATCTTACAAGCTATCAGACACGTATCTTTATGCTCATGTGTACATAACCTTTGTGATACCATGTACTAGTTTCCTTACCTTAACGTACTGGCTGCCATGATTTCGTGTTTAGATGTACAATATTGAGTATCTTCTCCTGCACAGCGCTTTGCTAATTAAATCAATGCAAACATCTCCAATGGACCTTATCACAGCGGAGTCCGAGTCAGATGCTGACTGCTGTAGTCCAGGATTGCTTGTGTTTGCCAAGGCATTGTCTTACACATATCAAAATCACGAGGAATGGCTGACTGGCGTCAGTGCTCCATCAATTTTGCAATATATGATTGTTGTCTGGTTGCTGATGACCGTAGTCTGGTTTGGGCAGCAGGTGTACCACAGATATTGAGAACTGTTGGTGATTTACAAAAAATTACCTAGGACACACCACACTTATGAATTCAGGCCAGTATTGCATGTAGTTTGTAACTCTTGATTGCCAGCTGACTGGCATTGCAAGTAGCAATCATGAAGTTCAGCTCAGGCGATGGATGACCACAGGTTTGGAGAGACGCAGAACCTTTTCAATATTTTATCTATTGTATATCATAGTTGTTGGGACATATAATCCTTCATCAAGTTTGGCTTGTTCTTGCAACTTCTTGTCCTTTGATGCCATCGTGTCATGATTATCTATTGCTTTGCCTTTGGATATAATCCAGTAGACATGTGATCTGATGTTGCTATTTGTATCTACAAAAACCTTTTTCCCGCCGGTTTCCTGATGTCATCCTTCTCTGGCACGACCTTTTTCGCCTCGCTGAGACAATTGAGCAGCATATTTGACATCATTATTGACAAGAACTTACGTTGCTAAATCACTGACTAATGAAACATTGGATGTATTTTGCTGTACCAGAAGTCCTGACGGCCGTGAAGGTCCAGCATTTGAGCTGCAGTTCTAGTGAGGAATAGCTCAAGCGCCCATCAGGGAAGAAACACATACATCCCTGATGGCAGCTCTGCCAAAGGTTCAACATTGATATTCTCCCTGTCTTTCTGTTAGACGGGTGACAGATTCCAGGAAGCTGCAACTCACTCCTCGATGGGTTGTACGACATCCTTTTGCGGGAGAAGCTGCTCGTCATTGTGGGTGCGTTCATCCTCGGCGTCGTCGGTGGCTGATGCTTGTGACATGAAGAAGTTATAGGTACTATATTGGATTCCAAGAAAAGCTAGTGAAATTTGGAAGCATCTGAGATAAGCGGACAGAGTAGACTCGGAGTGGAACGCAGCAAGTCGTTTAGGTGGCTACCACTCAAACTATGACCAACACGTGCCTGCGAGCGTTGACGCCGAAAGTTTTTGTGAGAGCTCCCTGCAGTGAACTGAGACCTTACCATCATGATGGTGATAGATCCTTCTGGGCCCGGTCTTTATGCATGGCACTCCATTGAAGTAGATCAAGCTGACATGTGGATATTTTATTGGGCCATCTACGCTCATATAAGTCGAGCTCAATGCATTTCTGAAAGGGTGTGCACTGAGAGCTCTGTTTATACTGGACATTATGAACGACTCCTCGTGATAATGCAATGACCCTGAAATGCCGATTGAGTTTCCTTGGAGGATTTCGTCAAGGAAGGGCAGCTTTATCATGACATTGGCAAGGTGTCAAATTTAGATTCAAAGGTATGATGATCATCACGGGGTACGATCACGTGATCAGTCTAAGATCAAGTTGACTTTGAGCATGGCATGTGGTCGTCGCTCTCCTTCTCTAGAACCACCTGGCCCTCATCAACCGCGAATACGTACTAACGAAATTCACCTCTAGGTCATACACAGACCCGCTTCTGCATTAAAAGAGCTGCCGGAAAACAGCCTTGACGCCAGGTCTCTTTCCATTCAAGTCACCGTCAAGGATAGCGGTATGAAGCTGCTTCATATTCAGGACAACAGCTGTGGCATTCGTGTGCATCTTCCTCACATTTGCATGAGGGCATTCCATTGAGCTTGTTTGAAGAAAGAGGACTTACCCTTGCTTGCTGAGCGCTTTACTTTACTACTCGAGCAAAGACCACTACGACGGCCGGCGTTTTGCGAAGAAAGGTTTAAAAGTGCCCGAAAGCGACACCATTCATACGCTTTGGGCTCCTGCACCGTGCTGTCAAGCTTGCAGGCAATCTGGGAGTATGTCGCATTCAGGAATGCACCCCAGGAGATAGGAAATATGATGAGGGTGTTGCGTTCCTTATGAGCGCGATGGAGGACGCAAAGATTTACACCATGGAGGCTCCCCCAGATGCAAGACACATAAAGAACATGTTATACTGGTACATCTGCCTCACTCTTACTATCAAGGGACCAGAGACGCCAGCAGACAGGTTTGCTCACCGGCTTTGGCATTCGATGACCTCTCTACAACCGAGCGCAGGTCGCATTCAAGAAGTTGGAGTATGCTGACGAATTTAGCATACCTCTGGGCATTTTTGTCCCGAGAATACAGTTGTGCCTGGCCCAGCAAACCATTGTTAAGCGCTACCCCACTGCTGTGCAAGAGTGGAGGATTTGATTGCGCGCTTTGACGAGGTGATGACGGATGAGCGCCCCATCTCATTAAAGCAAGCTGAAGATGATCTTGCCGCATGGCTTGACGACCTCCATCTTGATCACAGAGAGGAAGATGAGCCTCACCCGCAGAGATGCTCACACTCACGAGTCAGTCTGAATACTGGTGTTGTACAGATGTTCGTAGTGTAGCAATCCCAGTGCTGCACTGAGGATGTGCAGTGGTTGCGAGACAGGCTATACTGTCATATTTATGCATAATTATGGCTGGTAAGAGACACATGGTTATGTATGGTTGATGCTAATCCCTCCACCCTGGCAGCTTTATGCATAATGGTGCCTGCATCACATTGAGCCTTTTGTGGAACTTTGAAGCTCAGCTACATTATGCCCACACTCCGCATTTTTGGCCACCTACCATGGGAATTACCCCACATCACCCAAAACATCACCCATTTTGGAAACCTCCACAATATCAATTATTCCCACACCCTCCCCACCTCACTGCAGCTTCACCATCACACCACAATAGCTCCCTGTTCATATATAAGTAGTATTTTAGTATATATATGTATAATATAATATAATAAACCACTTTTTTTGTCTATTTGTGTGCCTGTTCCTTCTCCAGGGCCCTTTTAACATATGCTAGGGTAAAGAACACTTTCGCATTTTTGCCCCTTTGGTGGGACAGTGTTCTATAATATTCAGAACATGTTTATGAGCATATATGAGTGGATTTCCATCTTTATTTCACCCCCTGAAGCGTCCTACATCAATAGATATAGCACATATGCAAGAAAACACAAAATATGTTCACATTTAATTATTTCTAGGTGGACAGACTTGAAAAAATGATTCCCAGCATCTATTTAACAATAGGAACAATGTATCAGCAGCCCAGGACCATAGGATAATACCCTGTTGCATGGTGTGCCCTCCCTCTCCTGATGGTTCACCCCCTGTGAAACTTTTCCTGTAGGACCGGACCTTAATTGAGGTGAGGGGTTTATTTATATGTATATTTGGAGTACATCTATCATATAGCTGGCCCAGGACACACATAGGATTCTTCTACAGGAACAAAAACATAGAAAATCTCACTTTTGACATTTTTGATGTTTTTCAGTATCTTACTCTTGTATAAATGGCCAGCCCTGCTCATATATGATCATTAGTACATTCCCACATGTGTTTTATGCCAAGGATCAGCCCTACATAGGGCGCAAACCTGATATCTGATGTATAGGGGGTATTTCTACTGATAAGAAGCCTACATAATGATCAAGCCTGTGATAAGTGATCAGATACCTTGGATACCTCTCATATGTGTCCCAGATGATATATTTGAAGTTTTAGAAAGATCCATGAAGGACTGACTGAATGACAAGTAAAATGACATATGTGTGAAAAGTGACAATTGATATATTTTTACACAAAGTCACATTTATATATGGTACAGGTCAAATTTATCATTCAAAATATGTAGGATATAGGGTAGACTACTAAATGAACCTATACTACATACTGCCCTGAGGTTAGAGGGTTGTGGAAGGAATGTAGTGTATGTCTGAGTTGACCCAGCATTAAAGTCCTACTACTGTCCAACTGATCATTTTCGATGTTTTGGGTCTTTGAACTTTCCCACAGTCAATTTCTTATCTATTTCACTTCCTCAGCACTCAATTCTTGTTGGATTGTTTTGTAAATTTAGCTATATAATAGTGAATGTATTTTAAATCTACCCCAGGTGTCTGATTATTAAATTTTGATGTTTTGAAAGTATGGGCTCCTTATCAGTAGAAATAGCAAGTATCCACACTAGCTCAAAACTCCGGCCTATTTTGAGCTGATCCTTGTCATACAAAGCAAGTATATATGATATGCTAATGATATGTGAACAGGCAGGATTATTTATGCAAGAGTAAGATACTGAAAAACATCAAAAATGTCAAAAGTGAGATTTTCTATGTTTTTGTTCCTGTAGAAGAATCCTATGTGTGTCCTGGGCCAGCTATATGATAGATGTACTCCAAATATACATATAAATAAACCCCTCACCTCAATTAAGGTCCGGTCCTACAGGAAAAGTTTCACAGGGGGTGAACCATCAGGAGAGGGAGGGCACACCATGCAACAGGGTATTATCCTATGGTCCTGGGCTGCTGATACATTGTTCCTATTGTTAAATAGATGCTGGGAATCATTTTTTCAAGTCTGTCCACCTAGAAATAATTAAATGTGAACATATTTTGTGTTTTCTTGCATATGTGCTATATCTATTGATGTAGGACGCTTCAGGGGGTGAAATAAAGATGGAAATCCACTCATATATGCTCATAAACATGTTCTGAATATTATAGAACACTGTCCCACCAAAGGGGCAAAAATGCGAAAGTGTTCTTTACCCTAGCATATGTTAAAAGGGCCCTGGAGAAGGAACAGGCACACAAATAGACAAAAAAAGTGGTTTATTATATTATATTATACATATATATACTAAAATACTACTTATATATGAACAGGGAGCTATTGTGGTGTGATGGTGAAGCTGCAGTGAGGTGGGGAGGGTGTGGGAATAATTGATATTGTGGAGGTTTCCAAAATGAGTGATGTTTTGGGTGATGTGGGGTAATTCCCATGGTAGGTGGCCAAAAATGCGGAGTGTGGGCATAATGTAGCTGAGCTTCAAAGTTCCACAAAAGGCTCAATGTGATGCAGGCACCATTATGCATAAAGCTGCCAGGGTGGAGGGATTAGCATCAACCATACATAACCATGTGTCTCTTACCAGCCATAATTATGCATTACCCTGTCAAGAACAGGTGTGCGAGAAAGCGAGGTAACTGATTCATTCAGTCTTGTCATAGGCAGATGATTGTCCATGATTTTTCAGGTATTGCGACGCTGGATACCAAAAGTCGCCTTGGTTGGAGCATAAGGTCATGTGCAGGACTTGAATGGCCTGAAATATCTCATTCTTGCTGTCGTACCAGTTTGCGATGGCTCTTAATCCTGATGCCCGTTAGTCCAAGTTCTCAACCTATCTTGGCCCTCTCTGATTACCTTCCTCAGCCCATCTGCGATGTGCGGGTAGGTACTTATGACCACTCTTGATGTTCCTGTATTGGTACAGTAAAATATGTATTATCCTACACACGATTCGACTGCAATAACATCATTTCCTCGTACTTCGCCTTTTATTCAACTTGCTCGATTTGTACGCTTCCTCTTTCCTGTCCTGAACTCTTCAAAAATTTCATCTTTTCTAAGTAGCCACCTCCGCGTCGGTTAGCGCTCGTCCTTGACATCACTCGACGTGACATGCGTGCACCAGTCCATTGCGGATTTATCCAGAGTGGTAATCTTCTTGGCCTTCTGAGTCGGTATGTCCACCAATGATGCGAGGCTTGCGAGGACCTGGAGGTTTCCATGTGGCAGCTTTCTGTGATGCAGGTTGTATCAGATCTGCTGAACTCGATGCCGATGCATTCACATCGGCGGTTGAAGACAGAGTCAGGGGCTGATGCAGCAGATGACGGCAACCCTAATGGATCCCATCGCGGCCACTTCTTCACTTCCTCCAAGTCCTCAGGGACTTCGACCACTTCTCTTGACATCACTAAGCACACTGTAAGAAGGAATGAGAGTGGATGGACATACATGATATTCTTCCCTGCGAAAAGGTAACATTTCTAGATCTTCATGAGCTTCTTTGGCGGCTCCTCGACCTTTGGAGATGGTGGCGTAGCGACAGACGCCTGGAAACTGGCCCATAGAGCATCGTGCGCTCTGTAGAGCAGGATAAGTATACGTATACTTGACCTATAGGGTCACCCGACATACCTCACTTTTTCTTCTCGACTAGATCTTCCTCTTTCACTTCATTTGTCACATTCATATCATCTTTTCCTTCTTCGTCTCCCTAAGAGCTATCCGAGTCTGTTTGGTTTGTCAGACAAGACGATTTTTGATGAGATACTTAACCTGTCATCACACCTTGGTGTACACGTGTTCGGTGGGCACCTAGTCTGGATCATCGTCTTCGGGTTCAGATGTTGGGTCACATAGTGCAGGAGACATTGTGTGGTGTTGTTTGATGTTGAAGGTGTTGAGGAACGGTCGTCAACGAACGTCAATTGGCAGTACTTTAAACTCTTCATTAACATGGCTATGTGGCGGCTAAGTAAGAGTCGTGTGCGCAGCTTCAGCAGCTGATCTCTATGGCGCTGGATCAGTTCAAAAATGTACACACAGGAAAGTCACACACACACACGCATACGACACACACACAGTAGTTAAACACACACATGTATTGTAGTATTGTAATATATTCAGTACTACAGGCGCATTTCCGGCAAAATCTCACTTGTATTGAAGAAAATTGAACACTTCTGATGACCGAAAGCAAAGCGGCCAAAGTTTCGAGTCTCCCTGGCCTATGAGATCAGCGCGCTGATGGCAGGTCCAGCGGTGAAGCGAACGCGAACATCTTGTGCTTTAATGGCGGTGGTACTGGTACTGGCTCATGTTTTGGGATACCTGGTGAAGACGAAGCTGAAACGATGTGAGCCGTACAATCCTTCATACCTGGGGGCGTTGGAGGAGATGCTGTTGATGCTGTTGATGTCGATGTTGAATAACCTGGTGATGGTGTGTCCGGCAATGTGGGTGGTGTGATGTAGGAAGAATTGGGTGGAGGGAAAGCTGGCTTTGGTGGCGAAGGATAATGATGACCATATGTGGGTGTAGGTGCCAAAGCAGCTGGAGGAGGTGGGAAGGGATTCGTAGTAGGAGGAGGGGTTGTCTTAGATGATGAGGGAAGAATGTAAGTACATCTCGCGCTCCATCTGGTTAATTTCGTGCAATTGGAACATGCTGATGCAAAATCGGTATACATACCCTCTTTGTGGCTGACGAGAATGTAAGACCATGCTTCTTGAGCCAGGAGACAGACACGGCTAAGAGCAAGTTGGCGAAAAATTCAATGAGATTTTCATTGACAATGCCATCGGATGCAACGATGAAGGCGAGGATGTGTGAGATAAACTGATAAACTGATTGTTTCAAATAAACCAACCAGCATTTAATGAAGAATAAGTTGGCGGGATAGGAATTAAAATAAGAGTATAATAGTAGTATGGGCTCAGGATGAAGGATTAAAACGAGTGAGGAAGATTAAAGGGCAAATGACATAGGATTCAAAGGAGTGAGGGGAATTAAATGGGATGATGAGACGTTCGCACAAATTAAAGCCAAAGTTTGATAGAGCCAATGAAGTAGTCCGTCGTCCAGGGGTTGTGGAATGGACGTGACAATGGATCATTGACATCTGGGTGGCCGCGCAACAGGTCATTCAGTGTAGGTTGGACCGAAACGAGAGGCTGGAAGAGTGGCCGATTAGGTAGGGGCATTGCGGACACATGAGTCTGAGCCTTTGCGAAGTCTTGCAGGTCGATATCCTGGTGTTCTTCGTCCTTGATCAATGGCATCATTGGATTATGGCATGGAGCACGTTTCTGAGTCAGTGGTGAGATTGACATCCCTTTCAGACTAGCTGGAAGGGCGTTGAGACTGTTGTCCGTATCAGAGTCACTTGAACAGAAAACTGTAAATTCCAAGTGTTAGACATTTGACTTCTGCCAGAAAATAAAAACTCGACACTTACGTTCAACTTTGCCTGAGGATCTTCCCGACTTGTTCCCCGTTTTCGATGCAATGGGCCGTCCATGAGCTGATTTTAAATATTATGTGTCAGTAGTGTTCCCATACAATTAAATGGTAGTACTTACTTCCACGCATTTTCTTCTGGGCTGGTTCTTGACAGGTTCCACGTTGCATTGGGCGTTTTGGACGCACTGAAGTAAGTAACACAATGAATTTTAAACACAGCGCTGCGCTCGAGAGTGTGCACGTGAGACTAACCAATCTTTGGAACTTGAGTGAATACATCATCTTCGATTTTAAGCCCTGGGCCATACTCTTGTTTATGGTTGTTGTCATCGCCGTCGTCACCGTCATCACTGTCATCAGCTATATCGATAATGACCATGTCTGGGTCCCAGCGTGCATAAGTATGCTCAGGTATGAATTTCCGGATACCTATCATTGTGCATACACTGATTAGAAAATTTAGGACGAATTTATTAATGACTCACCGATAAAAATATTTGTCTGTTGAAGTGGGGCATTGCTTCTGCCTTTGTACCATTCGAGATGTTTGCCAGTTGGGAAGGGCTCAGGTGCGACACTCAGCCTGCAGTTCTCTTTTGAAATTAACACCCATTCAGATGCCCCATTGTCTGTAGCCTTCCCCTTTACATCACCAACCTTTACAGAGTCGAGGTATTCAAAGACTTTTGGAAATAGTCTTCGAATATAAGCATCAACTTCCTCAAATGTCCAGTCCAAGCAAAAGCTGAAATCCACACTGCCGCCGTCCTCAGACTGATCTCCATCAAAGTGAGCACATCCCCTTCGCTTGAACTTTGACATCTCTGTCTTGACAGGCAGAATTGTGGTCAACAACTCTCCTTTGTCCTTTCAGTCACCGGTAAGCTCATACTAGCCATAGCTTGTTTGAACTAACATACATCAAGGTAATTGACCAAGACGGCAATGGCACCAACTTTGATCGGGACATGACCTTGCTTTGAAGAGCTGGCCTGTCTCGAGGATACAATCCTGCCCTAGGCAATACCAGTCATTTTGAACACACAAAAGTTAGGTAAATTACTCACTGGGAATTTCTGCTTTGCAGTTGGGCGAAATCCTGCCATCACCTCATCTCTCGCAGCCGTCACAGTAGTTGTATTCTGACTACCTTGTCCAGCTCGTCGAGCGAGCGATTGCTTGAATATAGCTGTCACTCCAGCTCGTTCCTTTGCAGTAGTGACTGCTGGTAGCTCAGCCACTGGCAGTACAGGTGGTTGAGGTCGCGGATGTTTGCTCTTCCCATGCAAACATTCAGCGCAAAGCTCTTTTTGGCCAACTGGAATATTGGTGGGTGCCGAGTACTCTTCACAATAGCAGGGTACTGATTCATCAGGATTGCCCTTGCAAAATGCTGGCTTCGGCATTCTAAGTGAGATGGAGGAGAGGACCGGAACACAAATTAGTCGGCGAGGTGCGGAATTTGTATACAATGGTCCTGGGTCCCTCCGAATTTTGTAAAGTACTACTTAAGCGACTCAAAAAAATTCATTTGCTTCAAAGTGATCAAGAACGCTAGATGCCTGAGCCCATAATGTTGAGTGAGTTCTCCAGATAGGGTCAGCCAATGATATCTCCACGTGATGCTCCCTCCGCCTTCCAACTCGTAGGTATTCACTTGTGTTTTCGTCATACTCATCTTCACCCTCCCTTAAATTGTATCCCTCCGGTACAATACCCTCCATGACAACCGCCTCAAGTATTTCGAAGAACATACTTTCATCCTCTTCGTTCCGAAAAGGAGTATTGCTGTCTGGAACCTCTACAGCATCATGCTGGACATCATTTGCTTGTTCCTGCTCAATGCGGTCAATAATATCATCTTCGGCTGGTTCATCTGCCTCGTCACTTGGGTGGCCAGCACCTGTCTGATTTCGATGACAGACAACCTCCCGGCCATGAATACCATAATAGCGCTGCAGAACTGTAGGACAGATACCCTCGAACTCATCTTCATAGATACCTAATGATGCCTGTCCTAGAAGGCGCATATCCTTCATAGTTATGAGATAACAATTCTGCACTACTGAATATTCACTGACCTGAGGGCTTCGATCCCTGGTATCAGAACCATGAATAGGATGCAAATTCCATTCTTGTTGAAATTGTCGACAATCATCATTGAGCGCATTTAAGAAGAGCATACTGAGGAGCCACAGATGCCCAGGCTTGTCAACATCGAGTTTATGAAGTTGTTCGAGCCTGGTAAAGAATCCCCGCCACCGGCGTACAAACTGTGTGCCTACTTCAACCCACAATCGTTCGATGCGAGAATTCCGTGTTGATCTAACATGCATTATTATTCAAGTAAATTTCTAGAGGACTCCACTTACGATCCCCATAGGAACGAGCCATGATTGTGACCATTTGTCGCAATCATGTGTGTGGCAACCTGAATATTCTCGCCGCCACGATCTCCACGAATACGAGATGGGATGCCATATTCATCCTTTGCGTAGATGAATAAATCCAACACAGTTGATGCACGATTATTTGTGCTGACTCGTAGTGCTGTTATCTGTTGGTGCATAAGGTGTATTGTCACTTTTATAAATTAATTGACTTACAGTGCGACAATACCCGTCAATGAAACCATGGATGACGAAGCCCCATCGAATGAGCTTGTGATGACCATCTACATGCCATAGTGCATTTGGTCGAGCGACTCGGTATTTTCGTCTTCTGGTAACACGTCGTTCTCTCAGCCTTTGTCCCAGCCTGTCAACTCTGCGCAGGGACTGCCAAATGCGATGCTGCTGAACTCGAAAACCTTGGCGTCGAAGGAAGCCAACAAGGTACCGGAATCCTGATTCTGGTTTACTTTCTTTGAAAGTCCTCACAAGTAGTGCCTCCGAAGTCCGGTTCGGTCAGGTTCATGGCCCTATGTCTGCGAACCCTGAACTTGACCATTGGTCAGATTCAGGCATGGTGGCCGAACCTTGGACCGGACGCCTTCGAACGCGTTCGGAAGGGTTCAGTTCAGGTTCAGAACATGTTCGAACTCTCGAACTGTTGTTTAAATTGCAAAAAAAATTAAAATTGACAAAAAATGAGAACAAAACCTGCTAGTACGAATAACTACTAAAACTCTTCCTCGACGACAACGCAGTTATCGTAAGGAGCAGCAAACTCAGCCTGGGATGTTGCAGAAATGTGGCCTTGACGGTATGCGCTCTTGAGCAACTGGAGAGCCTCGAATGTTGCTGGCTGCAAACAGCTGCGACGTGCGGTCCCAGTAATGCCGCCGCTTGAAAATGCACGCTCGGACGCAACTGCGGATCCCTGGATGGCAAGGTAATCCTTTGCGATGCGGGAGATGGTCGGGTACTGGATAGAATGGTGCTTGAAAAGTTTTTTGATGATATTAGTATGCAAACAACATAAATTAAACAATAAGACGTACCCCCCACCAGCCCACTACATTGTCGACATCCTCAAGGGGTGCATCTAGGTAGTCCTCAAGTTCTTGACGAGGCCTTCGTGTAGTTGTGTCGTTCATGACACGCGATTTGACAGAGCTGCGCATCCAACTATGGCCATATGATCCTTGGTGAGTGAGCGAAGATGGGACGGTGACAGATGGCTCTGCAGGAGCCTGTGAGACAGTACTGCAATGATGATATATATCAAACTATGTAAGATTAGTATACAATTGAGGTGTGTGATGACAAGCGACATACCACTTGTTACAAGTAACATCGGCTACATGGCCCCCCTATCATTTTTCCCCTTCGTCCTCGCCCTCGTATGCCTCCGGCTCGTACTTCTCTACCGACTATCCGTTGACCGGATCCTCGGGACCGTTCCCGTCCCTCATCCCCCTCCTATCGCACCAACGTGCGCACGTGCCTTCGGGCTATGACTCGTTCTGACTCGTGCCACCAATGTGGCTTTCCTTATCTTGTCTTATCTTTCCTTTGACCCGTGCATGCTGCACATTGTATCATTTACCGTTGGCTCGTTCCAACGTTTCTCGGTCTCATTCCGCATTCGACCTCACATCACTAATCAGGCTCTGCTACCAGCGTACCTATACCCTTTCCGTTTCCCCTTTGCCCTTACCTACAGTACGGTAGCCTTGCCCTTAACCCTTTCCACTTAGTATAAGTAGTCGGTCACTCTGTACTAGATTCCCTAACTTGAATCTACTCAATCTTCCCTCGAACATACTTCCCTCTGAAGCCCCCTCAGCTTCAGTCTCTAGTATCTTTTCTTAGGTGCTCATCGCGCCTAAGTCTACCTCGATCGACCACCTCATTGTTCGGACAAGACTGTCCTTACTTTGAGAACGTCAGTGACTTTGAAGACATCCGTCTTAGAAGTCACGTGACACGCGCGTCTCTGATATCTGCCGACTCGACGTCGCCAGTCTCAGTCGCTACACCGGACCCTTCCGGTTACGTCACGAACGTTAGCGGACGACGCCCCTCTTAGGGCTCCGCATAACAGATCTATTTGAGTGCGTAACAAAAGATTCAAGTTTCCCCTTTTTGCGCCCTGCCATCCGCACGGCCATTAACCGACAGACACCACGACTACCTGGATCCCGAAGTACCCTTGGGAACGTGATCCCAACACTCCGGACTCCGAAGAAGAAGAATCGGAAGAAGACCACACGTCCTCCGACGAGTTTCCCGACGAACAACCGTACAGCAACCTCAACTCGAACCCTGGAACAAGAATGTCCGGAGGCCCCACCCAACAACCGACAGTGGTCGTATCCAGGCCTGAACTAAAGGCTGGAGTACCACAGAACTATGATGGAAGCATCGATGATGCCGAGCACTGGATGTACTCGGTGGAGACATACTTCCTCATCAACTCGACGATCTACAGCTCCGACCAAACCAAGGTCGCTGTTGCACTTCAGTACATGAACGATGGAGACGCCCGCGTCTGGGCCAACACCTTCTACCGAGCAGCCTTCGACAAACCCGCCGTCGACTTCGGTACCTGGAAGGACTTCAAGAAGGCTTTCATCGAATCCTTCCACCCGATCGACCGGATGACTGAGGCTCTAACCAAGCTTCATGGTTTGAGCCAAACCGGCGACGTGATGCCCTACATTGCGACATTCAAGACCCTGTCGTCCACTGCTAGTCTCAAGCAGGACGTCGCCCTCATCCACTTCTTCGAACGAGGGTTGAAACCAGGACTTCGAACCGCCATCTACGGGAAGGAGGTCGTCCCCACCACCATCGACAAGTGGTACACTGCCACGACACAGTTGGAAGCCAACTACAAGCGATCAAGAGCAGTTGTGCCCAACAACAGATCGGTACGCCCTTCCGGGCACCGGCACGTCCCCAAGCCTCAGGTCCGCCAACGCGATCCTGATGCTATGGACGTCGATCGTTCCCTCACGCCTGAGGAACGACAGAAGTGCTTCGATAAAGGCCTTTGCTTCAAATGCAAGGAGAAGGGCCATCGAGCAAACGACTCCCGGTTCCACCCGAAGGTGCGCCGAGGAGACAAGAACGACGAAGAAGACAAAGGCAAGAAGCCAAGCAAGTCTGGCGTCCGCCAGCTTGACGAGTCTTCTGACGAGGAAGACATCGAAGTCAACCTTGTCAAAAGAAAGGATTTTTAAAGAGAGGGCTTGTCGAACGGTCAATTCCCTCTATCTGCGCATTGTATACTAAAGCTGTTGGTAAATCCAACGAGTTTCGTGTCCCGGTGACACTTTTCTCTTCTTGCAGTGCCAAAACTGTTCAGTCGACCGCCATCATCGACTCAGGGGCAGGTGGGACCTTCATTAGCTATGACTTTGTCAAGCGAAATGGGATCCGGACCCACCTACTCAAGAAACCCTTCCGGATCACCACAGTAGACGGAAGCCCGTCCTCGGCAGGACAGGTAACCCAATACTGCATGCTATTCATTCGTCTCGATCAGAGACTTATGTATGGAAAGTTCAACATAACGAAACTTTCCAAGCATGATGATCTACTTTTTGGAAAACCTTGGCTTAGTGCCATGATGCCCAATATCGACTGGAAGGCCAACACGATCTCCCTGCCTGCGACCAATAGGTCAAAGGAGGTGGAGAGAAAACTCAACGCCTCTCGGCGAGAAAGCAAGGCCAAGCCATATCTCTTTCGTGGAGAAAAGGCTGTCCTAGAAGAACTTGACGATGAGGACTTTTCGCCCCTCAAGTGACTCCCTGAAGGCACTCAACATTGCCTCGAAGAAATCAAGAAACGCAAGAAGCGTAACAAGAAGAAGACGGCACCAATCATCGTGCCCTTCGAAGACACCGACTTCAACACCATGGACGATGTCTGGGTCGGACAGACCCATCTCGCGGATAAAGTTGAGGAGGTCTCCACTTATCCCCTCACTGATGATGAAGTTCTAGTGGAATATGCTTCGGACGGAACATCCGTCCGGATCATCGAGAACATCTCTTTCGACACCCCGCTCACCAAGGACGGGACCTCGAAGAAAGAAATCCGGAAGGCTCTCCACCGGCGAGCAAAACCGGATCCTCGCCTCTCAGCAGGACTACACGAAGACCTCCAACAAAGCTCAAGAATTTGCCATGGAGGACGCACAGGAGAAGAAGAAGAAATCATTCGAAGAACTGGTACCTTCCTATCTTCATGATTTTGCTGACATCTTCGCAAAGGATGGTCTAAACAAACTCCCTCCCTCACGACCGGGAGTAGACCACAAGATCGAAACAAAGGAAGGCTTCATTCCGAAGTCTTCCCGCTCTCACCAAAGGAAACCGACGCTGTCAAAGCATTTTTGGATGAACACCTCGCCAAAGATTTCATCCAACCCTCGAAGTCTCCTCAAGCTGCTGGATTCTTCTTTGTCGGCAAGAAGGACGGGTCTCTCCGCCCCTGCCAGGACTACCGATACATCAACGAATGGACGATCAAGAACGCGTACCCACTCCCTTTGATACCACCCTTGCTTGCGAAACTCAACAAGGCACAATGGTTCACAAAGGTCGACGTACGCTCAGGATATAACAATATCCTCATTCATCCCGACGATAGGTGGAAAGCCGCGTTCTCCACCTCATACGGGCTCTTTGAGCCCAAGGTAATGTTTTTTGGATTGTGCAATTCACCCACCACCTTCCAAGCTTACATGAACCAGACGTTTTCAGAAGAACTGAACGAAGGATGGTTAATCGTCTATATGGATGACATCCTGATCTTTTCAGATAACCTGGACGAACACCGGCAGAGGACCCGCCGAGTGTTGGAGAAACTCCGCAAAGAGTCTCTCTTCCTCAAACCCGAGAAATGTACTTTCGACTCTCAAGAAGTCGAGTACCTCAGTATGATCATTCGACCCGGACAGGTCGCTATGGACACTGCCAAGCTGAAAGGCATCAGCGAATGGCAACAACCCTCTTCGGTCAAGGATGTGCGGTCCTTCCTCGGATTCTGCAACTTCTACCGTCATTTCATTCCCCACTACTCCGACATCGCACGCCCTCTCCTAGACCTAACCAAGAAGGAGATCCCCTTCTCTTGGTCCGACTCCACTGAAGCTTCATTCCAGCATCTGAAGAAGCTTTTCACCACCGAACCGGTTCTGCGGAACCCTGACTCCTCGCGACAGTTTGCACTTGCAACTGACGCCTCGCTCTTCGCGACCGGAGCAGTCCTACTCCAGACAGATAGCAATGGGGATTACCACCCCTGCGGCTATCTCTCCCAGTCCCTCAATGCGGCCGAACGGAACTACGAGATCTACGACCGGGAACTCCTTGCCATCATCCGAGCTCTTCAGGCTTGGAGGCACTTCCTCGAAGGAAATCCTCACCCGGTCATTGTCTTCACGGATCACAAGAACCTGATTTATTTCCGCTCCGCACAACGACTCACCCGATGACAGGCCCGGTGGCACCTCACGCTCACCAACTTTGATCTGGAACTTCACCACGTTCCCGGAACAAAGCTCGCTGCACCGGATGCCTTATCCCGACGTCCGGACCACGCTGTAGCTGGTCAGGATAACGAGGATCGTATCCTCCTCCCCGACACCCTGTTCACCCGTCTAATTGACGCTGAACTCGCAGACGAGTTCCAACGCCTTTCCGACGACCCCTCCGACCAGACTGTGAAAACAGCCTTGGACGCTCTCTCCGGGGTGTGCGCACCCCCCATGAAGTCTGCACTTTCCAATTGGAGGTTCACCGATGGTGTTCTCTTCTATAAGGATCGTGCCTACGTTCCCCCCGACCTCCGGCATCGCGTGTTGTCTCTACATCACGATCACCCAACCGCCGGACACCCCGGGCGTTCCGGTACCGAATGGAACGTCAAGAAATCCTACTGGTGGCCCGGAATGGGCTCCTTCATTAGGAAATACGTCGATGGCTGCGCCATGTGCCAGCAGATGAAGGTTAACACCCACCCCACGACACCTCCCCTCACCCCGATACCCTCCTCGGCTCTCCGGCCCTTCGCTCAGGTTTCGGTTGATTTAATCACCGACCTCCCCGAGAGCGCCGGCTACGATTCTGTCATGGTCGTGGTAGACCATGGGCTTACGAAGGGGGTAATTCTCTGCCCTTGCAGAAAAACCATCACAGCGGAAGGAGTAGCCGAACTTTTCTTCAAGAAAGTGTTCATGCGCTTCGGACTCTATGACAAGATCATCTCGGACCGAGGCCCCCAATTCACCTCGAAGCTAGCAAAAGAGCTAGGACGACTCCTCGACTACCAAGTCGCACTTTCCACTGCCTACCACCCTCAGACAGATGGCCAGACCGAACGGCTCAACCAAGAGCTCGAAACCTACCTCCGGATTTATTGCCGGACAACTCCCTCCGAATGGGCAAAGCACTTGCCTATGGCCGAATTCGTTCACAACTCCCGACGACACTCCGCCAGAAATGCCTCCCCCTTCTATCTCATGATGGGCTACGAACCACGAGGCATCCCCCATCTCTTCCCCGACTCTACCCTACCAACCGCTGAAGACCGAGTCAAGTCACTCGCCAAGATCCGCGAAGAAGCCCTTGCATGCCACAGCCTCGCGCAGCAACGCATGGCTGATCGTTCCTATGGCCAGCGCTACAAGCCATGGAACGTTGGTGATAAGGTATGGCTATCCGCCACGAACCTAATCACCGGATTCCCTTCTAGGAAACTCGCCCCGAAACGATATGGACCCTTCCCAATCCAGAAGGTCCTCTCCCCCATCACGTTCCAGCTAAAGCTGCCTGCCAGCTGGCGTATCCACCCCACGTTCCATGCCTCGGAACTTTCCTCCTATCAGGAGACAGACGTGCATGGACCGAATTTCACCGAACCTCCTCCTGATCTTATCGATGGAGAGGAACACTACGAAGTGGAAGCTATCCTCCAACACAAGGGTACCAGATCGCGTCGCCGGTACCTCGTGTCTTGGGTTGGCTATCCTGCCTCCGAACGAACGTGGCTCCCCGAAACAGAATTGAAGTCCGCAGCGGAGCTCCTGAAGGCGTATAAGAAGCGACTCAAAATCGCTTCAATCGCCATCTCATGTTGATCAACAACCGCCACCGCAACTTCTCCTACCGCCCTCACTACACTAGGGCTGACCCCACCAGCGAACCCATCCACACCGATACCAAAACCTTCCATCGCCAACGAATCCGCAATCACCACCGCCCCACGAAACCCAAACCCATCGACAAACAGAGACCCACTACCCAATACCCCACCTACGCCACTACCCAAGGAAAGACGCTTCACTATGTCGGTCTCAGCGTCGTCTGTTTCCTCGCACCGATCCGCTACCTCTCATGCGTCTGCCTCCGACCCCGACCCGACGAGCCAGCCAACGCATGGCCATGATAGGCCCTCCTACACCATCTTCCGACGACCATCCCTTCGCTCAGTTGTCCAAGACAGGCAACGGGCCTACTGGGAAGCAGTCATCTGCGATCCCCAGTATGCAATCCGACTCGACAACTATCTCAACCGCACCAACAACGACATAACCACGAACCTCGTCCAGGCCTTTAGGGCCACCGATGCCCTCACCGGCGATATCGCCAGGATTGACCTGGCTAGGGAGACTTCCCTATCCACCGTCTCGACCAGATACAACCAAGGCAAGATCAAACGAGCCTTGCTAAATCTGTTTGAACTTAGGAACTTCCATGCCGCCGTAATGGCCGTCGAGGAGGAGCGGGCATTTAATCCCCCTCCCGACCCGCTTGCAGTCGTCGAGCGTGCTGTCTATGACAGAGCTCCGACCCCCTTCCTTCCCCAACTACCCCGCTCTGAATCACCAGAGCAGATCCCCAACGTCACCCAGTTGACCAACCCCGAGATCGACCGCCTCTATAACGAATACGAACGCGAGCTCTACGCTCCACGTAACCCCTCCCCCATCCTTGATGTCGACACCATCTCTATCACCATCCCGGAGTTGGATGAGTGCCCTCCCGAACCACCTGTTCTCAACCCCGATTGGGTACCCACCGAGGTGGTCCCACACCTTTCTATTGGTTCTCCGGAACCCCTTCCCACTCCACAACGCCGAAATCACCGTGCTCGTGCACGATCCATCTTGTCCTTAGGACTACCCCTATCCCATGCGCATCGCCCACGCACCCAGAACTTCACTAGGCACTATCCTCGCGAGGAAGCCCAGGAAGACGCCATCAACGACGCGCGTCGTGATGCCACCGAGACCACCCAGGTCTACCGCAGCAACGTTGTCTGCCGCCAGTGCCGTGTCTTTGGACACAAACAGAAACACTGCGCGCAATACTTCTGCCGCATTTGTGGGCAATTTGCCCCAAAACATCTCACTCCCTTCTGCCCTCGACTCGACGGCAGAAGAATCCTTCGCCATGGAACCTCTTCCGACCGGTTCTACAGGGACATGCAGCAGCTTGAAGCTGCGTATGACCAGGACGCTGCTCGCCTTGAGCAAGAACGCGAAGAGAACGCAATCGAAGCCGCCTCCTGGCTCGAAGACCTCGACTTCGACCCCGCATGGTATAACAACCAGGACGACTATGTTCCCCTGGACGACGATTAAAGAGTTCGTGGAACTCTACCTTGAAACGGGGGTAATGTTACAAGTAACATCGGCTACATGGCCCCCCTATCATTTTTCCCCTTCGTCCTCGCCCTCGTATGCCTCCGGCTCGTACTTCTCTACCGACTATCCGTTGACCGGATCCTCGGGACCGTTCCCGTCCCTCATCCCCCTCCTATCGCACCAACGTGCGCACGTGCCTTCGGGCTATGACTCGTTCTGACTCGTGCCACCAATGTGGCTTTCCTTATCTTGTCTTATCTTTCCTTTGACCCGTGCATGCTGCACATTGTATCATTTACCGTTGGCTCGTTCCAACGTTTCTCGGTCTCATTCCGCATTCGACCTCACATCACTAATCAGGCTCTGCTACCAGCGTACCTATACCCTTTCCGTTTCCCCTTTGCCCTTACCTACAGTACGGTAGCCTTGCCCTTAACCCTTTCCACTTAGTATAAGTAGTCGGTCACTCTGTACTAGATTCCCTAACTTGAATCTACTCAATCTTCCCTCGAACATACTTCCCTCTGAAGCCCCCTCAGCTTCAGTCTCTAGTATCTTTTCTTAGGTGCTCATCGCGCCTAAGTCTACCTCGATCGACCACCTCATTGTTCGGACAAGACTGTCCTTACTTTGAGAACGTCAGTGACTTTGAAGACATCCGTCTTAGAAGTCACGTGACACGCGCGTCTCTGATATCTGCCGACTCGACGTCGCCAGTCTCAGTCGCTACACCGGACCCTTCCGGTTACGTCACGAACGTTAGCGGACGACGCCCCTCTTAGGGCTCCGCATAACAGATCTATTTGAGTGTGTAACACCACTCTCCCGAGGGAGTGCATCCCCATTTCGAAAAAATGAGGGGCCCATTTGTCTTTGGCGTATGCGACCTTGTAGTTGGGGTCAAGCGCTACATCAAAAACGTCAGCGTCATTCAGAGGCATTGAAATAAATACAATACGTACCAAGACAAATAAAATAGACGTCCGTGTCATCGGTCTTACCATACCACTTGCTGAGATTAGCGACACCAGCTTCAATGGCTGTTGAGAGGCGGCTGAATTTTGAAGAGTTGGCCATATTTTGCAACATCTCTTGAAGATATTCGAGCACCGGAATAGTTCGCCATACAGTTGGTTCACGAGTTGCCGAGAAACTCTGCTGAGCGTCTGCAGGTTCCTGTGTGCGCAGCACATAAGCAAGTTTAAATGTAAGATGGAGGGAAATGACGAACCTGAAGGACTTCACGCATCAAGTCCAGCTCCCCCCATTCGTGTGCCGAAAGCCTGAAATCAGTGTACAATTTGTCCTTCAACTTTGGGACCTCATCGCTGTCATTGGCGAGTTGGATAAGGGGGGGAAGACAGTAAAGCGACGGGCAAGCACAATGCTTAAACAGAAAACCTTACCAAAAATATGAGGCTTCGTTGCCGGTTTGAGAATCTAAGTTGGATAAAAATACATCAGGTTCAAACCGGTCCGGACGCGTCTGGACTGGTTCACGTGCTCCAGGAAAATACCGGACCTCGGACCTATTAGGGGGTTCGGTCCAGCAGAAATACCGGACCTGTGACTGAACCAATGGTCCAGTCCGCAAAGGTTCGAGTTCAAACCTAGGTTCGGGACCGGACTTCGGAGGCACTACTCACAAGTTGATCGAGATCAGCATCACTAATTACTGTAAAGTGTTTTTCTAGGCCATGTTGACGAATAAATTTCCACAGAGTAGTGCGGGACACTTGGAGGATTCATGCGAGATCTGGCAGCATGATGTGGTGTTGGTTAGATAGGGCTTTACTGACGAAATCGAAGTTAATGATTTTCTTCCGACGCCCAAGTCGACATTGCTGATGGCCCAGAGTCACAAGCTCCGGGATTATCACATTTGCCCGTTCAGCATTTCCCCTGGATTGAAGTATATTTAGATAGCAGAGTGTCAGGCAAGTGAAAGACTTACACATGAAGATTTCCGCTGATATCCTTGAGCATTGCGGCTACCTCCCCAATAAGCCTAGCACATACTAGTAGCCAGTCATGCAGAAGCTGGTAATCAGCAGGACTTGTATCACTTTCAATGGCTTCGAGCAAAGGTAGGGCCTCTGTGGACAGTGCATCATAGTGGTATGCCACTCTGGTTGGTTCTGCGTCATTTGACCGAAGTATTCTAATTGTAGCATTGTATATATTGCTGATGATACCCTCCACAGTATAGACATTTTGTGGCCATCGATTCTCGTGTTCTGGTAGAGCTGGAAGATCCATGGTTGGTGAATAGAGGTGATAAAGCGGTACACTACATTTACGTCCTTTGTGCTCCGACTTGAATTCAAACTTCAATTGCAGACCATCATGTTTGGGGCCCCAAGTCTTCTTAGGTTTCGACACCGCCGTTTCTATATACTCGATGGTACTCATATTTTCTTGGTCAGATGTTTTCATTTGACAATACTGTAGACTAACGGTCAAAATGCAGGTTGAAAATGCATTCATCAGGCATTTGACCAGAGTATAACAAGGCTTTACCTAACTTTATCTGATATATAATGTTAAAAATATTTATCACAATTGCAGACCACTTGATAAAGGAATAAATAGGTAGACTATGTAGGCAGATTCTCCCAAGGCCATCATATTGGCACACTTCTGATAGTAAGTTGTGATCTACCTAGCATATTGATACTGTTATTATCAAATGTACCAACTATGACTAGCTATACATTGGCAGCTTCCAATTGCAAAAGCTGCCATCACTGGCAATGTGCCCAAGTGTGATCAGCTGTACCTAGCTATATATAAGTAGCTTTCAATTATAAGGTCTACCATCATCAAATATTTGATGATACATAGCAAAGCTTTATTAAATTGCAGAAAACTTGACAAAGGAGTAGATGGGTAGACTACATAGGTGGGATTCCCCATAGGCCGTCATATTGGCGGACCCATGGTAGTAAGCTGTGATCTACCTAGCACAGTGATGCTGTTATTATCAAATGTACCAACTATGGCTAGCTATATATTAGCAGCTTCCAATTGCAAAAGCTGCCATCACTGGCAATGTGCCCAAGTGTGATCAGCTGTACCTAGCTATATATAAGTAGCTTTCAATTGTAAGGTCTACCATCATCAAATATTTGATGATACATAGCAAAGCTTTATTAAACTGCAGAAAACTTGACAAAGGAGTAGATGGGTAGACTACATAGGTGGGATTCCCCGTAGGCCGTCATATTGGCGGACCCATGGTAGTAAGCTGTGATCTACCTAGCACAGTGATGCTGTTATTATCAAATGTACCAACTATGGCTAGCTATATATTGGCAGCTTCCAATTGCAAGGGCTGCCATCACTAGCAATGTGCCCAAGTGTGATCAGCTGTACCTAGCTATATATAAGTAGCTTTCAATTGTATGGTCTACCATCATCATATATTTGATGATACACAGCAAAGCTTTATGAAACTGCAGAAAATTTGACAAAGGAGTAGATGGGTAGACTACATAGGTGAGATTCCTCATAAGCCATCATATTGGCAAACCTATGGTAGTAAGCTGTGATCTACCTAGCACAGTGATGCTGTTATTATCAAATGTACCAACTATGGCTAGCTATATATTGGCAGCTTCCCATTGCAAAGTCTGCCATCACTGGCAATGTGCCTAAGTGTAACCATGAATTGACAGAACAATCTTGTCAAATCATATGGCTGATATATTGTCAGACATACCTCCTCTTACCAGGATTGCTTTTGATTGCAAAGTCTACCATTATCAACAATGAGTCCAGGGGCTACAATGAGTTGTCAGACAACAGCAAACTGTTGTTTCTATATAAGATGCATCTAGCAATATATAGGTAGTTTTTGATAGGGAGACCTAACATCTCAACAAAGCAAAATGCTGGTACATTATCAGACATAACCACTCTTACATGTAGCGTTTCCGATGGTGGAGTCTAACATCACTGACAGGGAGACACTGTTGTCTCAGACCTAACATCTTTAGCAGTGAGTCCAAGTGCTACAATGAGTCACCTCGACAAAACAAAATGCTGGTACATTGTCAGACATAACTACTCTTACATGTAGTGTTTCCGATGGTGGAGTCTAACATCACTGACAGGGAGACACTGTTGTCTCAGACCTAACATCTTTAGCAGTGATCCAAG